AGACTATCCCTCCACCTCCATTTACCCTCCATAAAGTGACAGGGTAGAACAAGGCAGGTGGGGTGATGTCTCAGACCCTCCAGCTCTGGGGTTGGGTGAGCCCATCTCGCACACAGGCTTAGTTGAAATCCTGGTTCCCTCGTTGTGGGACCTTGGACACTTTGCTTGATCTCTCGCAGGCTCAGTTTCCTCATCTGTAAATTGGGGATAATAACACCTCCCTCACCAAGTTGTGCGGATTGAGGAAACATACATTTAGGACCTGGCACAGTTTATAACAGGCTCTTGTTGCCTGGTTTTACTATTACTATAGGTATATTGTGGGTCTCTTAAACCATTTCTATCTCTGTTTTTAAAAATGCTCTCTCTCTCAAAATCTACAGTGGAATACAGTGGGAAAGGTTTTGTTTTCTTTTAACTTAAAAAGCACCCTTAGTATGTCCCTTACATTTTTGCCAGACTCAAGGACCCCCAGTTGGGTCCCAAGGCCTCTCTCTGGGAACCCCTAGTTTGGGCAGCCCAGCCTGTCCCTGCCGGACGCATCCCCTGCAAGCTGGAGGTCGAAAGAAATGGCTGTCTACTGCTTTTAGTGTTGTTGCCTCAGCTTCCAAGCCTCTAAAACTCCCCTGCCCGCCCTTCCCGCATACATTAGCCTTAATGTATTCTCTCTTGAATACTCATCGTATTAAGGCTCCCGGTAGATACCTTGCTCGAAATAAATTTTACGGGCATGCATCCTCGCCCTCATCCCCATGCATTTGTGGCCAGGAGGAGAAATATAACCGCTTTCCTCGGAGGCCAAACAACAATTAGGTGGGAATTGGCGGCCCTCTGGCCCGAGGAGAGGGCGTGGTGCGGGAAAGGAGGGGCTCGCGCCCCGAGGGTCGTCCCCAGACCCCAACCCCCAACCGTCTCCAGGGGTTAATTTGCCTCCGCTGGCCGGCTGCCTGGCTCCTGGGACAAAGACATCCCTAGCGGGCCGTGTCCCCGGGGCCTGTGGTCCACGGCGACACACAGGTCGGGCCGGGCACTCTCGGCTCCGGGGGCAGAGGTTCCTGCAGCTCGGCACCCGCCCGTCGGCACACCTCTTCCCTGAGCCGGAGGGCTTCTCGTTAGGGCTTCCTTCCCCTCCTTTAAGAAAAAGATGCCTGAGCAATCTTCCTCCACACCTCCTTCCTCAAGCCCCTGGCTCCGCAGCTGCCACAGTTCCGGATGCGAATTCCTGCAGGGGAGATCCACACCCTTTCCCACTTAATGGCCAGGTTTACCTGTGTTGTCTCCACCGCTTGCCCAGGCTGGACTTGTCATACCACAGGAGCTCCAGGTTATCCTCCCCTCATTCCCTAGTGTCTCACCTCTTCTTTCCCAACCTCCAGCTGGTAAGGGCCCTGCTCTCGGAACCCTCCCTGGCCGCTCCAGGGATGCCAGTCCCTGATGGTCCCTGGAGAGAGGCAGGCGTGTGGTTGAACGGGCACCTGCCTGGAGGTACCAGGCACGCCCCCCACCCAACCACGGCATAATTGCTGTGTGATGTGGGCCCTCTCTGAACCTCCGCGGGGGGGTCTTGACATCTTTGCGGGGATTCTCAGTGGGAGTTCAATGAGGTCAAGCCCAGGATCCTGGGCCCGTAAATTTCCTTACTCTCAGGCCAGCAGCACCACTTCGAGCACCTGGTTACTGCAGTTATCTTATCTCCTAATAATAGCAAACCTTTACTGAGCACCTACTGTATACCAAGTCCCGTCCTACGTATATGGATTCATTTACCTTGACAACAATTCTACCAGGTACTATTGTTATCATCACCCCACTTTTACAGGTGAGAAAACTGAGGCAGAGAGAGGCAAAGTAATTTGTTCAATCTTAGAAAGCGGAGCCAGGATACAAAATTAGGCAGATCTGGCTTCAGAATCTGTGGTCTTCATCTGTGTCCTACCTAGCCCTTCTTATTTGATGGAAATTCGTATAGCTGTCATGTGTTTAGCACTTTTCTGGGACTCCTTGGTAAGTACTTATTGATTGAACAATTTCTTTGCCAAGGAGGAAATATTTTGAGATAAAAAGAAAATCCCATCTGAACTGGGACAGGTACCAAGTGTCCAGGGCTACACGTGTCTGGTAGTTTTCATGGGGCATTTTGGTCTGAGAATCAGGTCAAAGCGCAAGGAATCTAGTGAGTATGACTTTTGGGCAAATGGTGGTGGCTGCCAAGACCATGAAGGAAACAAGCTGTGCTGGGGTTTAATTGGGTCCAAGATAGACAGTTGTGTGTACAGGGCTAATGATGACAGTTAGTGAATGCCCCAACCGTGTGTCTGAAAGTTTTAGATACAGATAACTTAATACTTGAGAAAGCTTTCTCTCTACATAGGTTTAGATGTGCTTAAATTTTCCCCCTAATGCTTTGAGACTAATTCCCTATTTCAACACTTTAAAATTATATCACAGCCAACAAACTTGTTATGAATCAAGAAACACTAGATTCACGAAATCTCACGAGAGATTTGGTTTTAGTACTTTTGTTGACATTTTGGGGTGTGCAGGAAAAACTAGTGAAGAACTGTTTCAAGTGAGCTTCTTAGAGAGGATTTGATCAGTAATTTATCTGGTGAAAAATATCTGTGGAGTTACTCTTGTGTGCCAGACATTGTGCTAGGCATGGATGATACAAAACTGAGAAAGAAATGCTGTTCCTGCTCCTTGAGGATCTCACCTTCTGATGGGAAAGACGGTGTGTAAAAAAAACAATTAGCAAAAATGCTATTTATAATAGAGGTGAGAAACCCCAGGGTTACCAGTCTCATGACATGCTATATCACGATGCTACCGTAAGAGGCCAGATGCTTGCACTTTTATGTTTTTGTTCTTAACATTTGTTACCTTCCCTTTTTTTGAGGAAAAGGACCAGGGAAATTGGCTAGAGATGCTAGCACTATTTGTTCATCCAGCTGTGAAAGCCTGACCATTTTGAAACTAATTCAGTGACTCAAAATACTATCAACCCCCTGAGCAATCCCTTGGTAGAGATGGGATGGCAGAGAAACAGACCTTGGATAGGAAGTCACCCAGCACAGGAACAGGGTGCGGTAGTGGTTCAGGTTCAGTTGCAGACAACAGAATCCATTTTCACTATTTAAGTGGAGAGTGATCAATTACCAGATATGTAGTAGATGACTTTTAACTCAGTGGAGCCAGTTCTGGCCCAAGCTGCTGGGAATAACTCCCAGCCCCCAGAATGTTGTTGCTTCTGCCATGATTGCTCAGGACATTAAAGCCAGAGAACCCTGTAGCCTCTGCCATGATCCACACCAGCTTAGTGAGAGGCTGCCTCTTGGCAGGCTCCATTCAACTCGGTTCTGAATTCAAGTCTCTTCTAAATAAGTTCATCTGATTGGCAGACTCTAAATCACTTTCGGAACCCAAGCTGCAAGGGAATCTGGAAAAGCAGTTTCTAGTTTTCCTGTCTGCAGTACATGAAGGCATATTAGTTGGGTATGTTGATTGAGTTAATCGATGGTATCTTTTGCATTTCATTAAAATGCTGAGATTCTCTCTCAGGAGACTCTCTCAAAATACTGAGATTCTCCAATGGACAAAGGATTAATCTCCAAAATATATAAACAGCTCACGTAGCTCAGTATTAAAAAAAACAAACAACCCAATCCAAAAATGGGCAGAAGACCTAAATAGACATTTCTCCAAAGAAGACATACAGATGGCCAAGAGGCACATGAAAAGCTGCTCAACATCACTAATCATTAGAGAAATGCAAATCAAAACTACAATGAGGTATCACCTCATACCAGTCAGAATGGCCATCATCAGAAAATCTACAAACAACAAATGCTGGAGAGGGTGTGGAGAAAAGGGAACCCTCTTGCACTGTTGGTGGGAATGTAAATTGATACAGCCACTATGGAGAACAGTATGGAGGTTCCTTAAAAACCTAAAAATAGAATTACCATATGACTCAGCAATCCCACTACTGGGCATATACCCAGAGAAAACCATAAATCAAAAAGACATATGCACCCCAATGTTCACTGCAGCACTATTTACAACAGCCAGGTCATGGAAGCAACCTAAATGCCCATCGACAGACGAATGGATAAAGAAGATGTGGCACATATATACAATGGAATATTACTCAGCCATAAAAAGGAACGAAATTGGGTCACTTGTAGAGACGTGGATGGATCTAGAGACTGTCATACAGAGTGAAGTAAGTCAGAAAGAGAAAAACAAATATCGTATATTAACGCATATATGTGGAACCTAGAGAAATGGTACAGAGGAACCGGTTTGCAGGGCAGAAATTGAGACACAGATGCAGAGAACAAACGTATGGACACCAAGGCGGGTGGTGTGATGAATTGGGCGATTGGGATTGACATGTATACACTGATGTGTATAAAATTGATGACTAATAACCTGCTGTATAAAAAAATAAATAAAATTAAATTTAAAAAAATACTGAGATTCTCTCTCCAGGAATACCTTCAGGCATGGACTTTGGTCACTACCCACCCCCAACATATCATTTGCTTTCTATGCCAGATGACCTCTCAGTCCATGCTTAGGCAGGGCTTACTTTAGAGGCTGAGGTTTTTAGCACAGATTCTACCCAGTAGTGAAAATGTCATAGAAATAAAGGTGAATGTTATTGGGTCTTCCTGGCCATTGGCTGTGGAATTGCAGCTGGCAAAAGTGGAGTTAGCTGATGCTGCTAGCTTTGTGGTGCTCTTAGAAACAGGCAACCCCTTTGGGTCAAAGCCACCCAAAGCCAGGCCAGCAAAGCATGGATTGGATTTCAGTCCCAACCTACTCCTTTGACCAGGCACCTTTGTGCAGTGTACAACCTGTACAACTGTATGTGGCAGCCCTGAGGGTTTGGCTTATGTCCTTTCCCAAAACAAGCAGAATGAGAAGACATCCAAACAGCACCTGGATAGTGGTGCTGTACAGAAGTCTTACATTGCCTCTCTCTCCTCTCTCCACAGAGATCCCCCAGTGTGCTGGCTGCAACCAGCATATCCTGGACAAGTTCATCCTGAAGGTCCTGGACAGACACTGGCACAGCTCCTGCCTCAAGTGTGCAGACTGCCAGATGCAGCTAGCTGACAGGTGCTTCTCCAGGGCGGGGAGCGTCTACTGCAAGGAAGACTTCTTCAAGTAAGTCAGAGCTGGGGGGTGCACCTTGCTCTCCTTGCCCTGATCTAACTGCCTCCCCCATGCAGTGAGGGGGAAGCTCTCAGTAAGGCAGGGTGGGGAGGGCGGGGGTCCACCCTGGGTGGGGTGGGTGAATCCTGGTGCTGAGAGGCTGTTCCTCTTTGAGGGCCCCCTTTTGATCACCGGCCCCATCACCCCCTGAGGCCCAGAATCTCGGCCTCACTTGAGCTCTGCAAGGGCCATGGGTGGGGAGCCAGCAGGAGGCAAGAGCCAGCCTTCTCCAGGGTGGCTGACAAAGGATCCCTGCAAATCCTAGAACGAGTTGCTTTTTCTGTCTTGGTGAGTTGGTGCCTCAGGGCACTTGGCTGTATCATTCCTGCGGCTTTCAGAGTGGTACTTTGAATTTTGCGCCCCCAATCTAGAGGCATCTCTATGGTTGCTCCTAGGGTCTCAGAGAAGTGTTGCTCCTGGTAGGGGTTGAGCCAGGCTCAGACAGTGTCATCAACTTCAATGGAAATATGACAGTTTTGTGTGACGGTTTAGAGCTCAGACCCTGCCTGGGTTTGAACTCACTTATTAGCAGTGTGCTCTTGGGCAAGTTATTTAACTCCTCTGTGTCTCAGTTTGCTTATCTGTAAAATGGGGCTGATAATAATAGGTTGTTAGTTTTGAATGAGTCAACATGTGTAAATTCCTTAGGATACTTGCCTGATACATGAGTATTAGCTCTTAAGACTGTCCTTGATTTTTCATTTTGGGGTTGGGTCCATCAGAAACAAATCATGTTGGAACTTTAGGTCAAAGTGAGGGGATCTCCTAGAATTTATTTTCCGTGGCGTTTAGCCTGAGACTTCTCTCCAAGAATTTATTACCTGAGGCACTTAGGCTGATGCCTCAAATGACGTGGGCCAGCTGGTAACAGCAAAGCCAAGAGCAGGAGGTGGGGGGTGTCTGTCAGCGACACAGAGCCCAGTGTGGGTGGCCCATGGGGTGCGTGGAGCGTGGGGGGACTGCCGGGAGGCTCACCAGCACCGGGACACACTGGGCACAAATGAACAAGCCCCGGAGAGATGGTGTGCATCCTTCAGAGGATGTGTTTTCTGGAGACAGGGAGGAGAAATCGGGAGAAGTGCCAGTCCTGATACAGAACATGATTTCTCACAAATCCTCCCCAAGGTTTAACTGCGGGGAATAAGTGATTTGAATTTCTGAGGATTCTCAAATTTGGTTAGTCCAATATGAGTTGAAAAGCACTTTAAAGATGATCTTGGTAACCACAGGGGCTGCCTCCATGGCTTGTGCTCAGAAGGTAGCACTCATTGTCACCATCACACTTTGGTCAAATAAGCACTGCTCTCTCCTTGGGAGTGTGTGTGTGTGTGTGTGTGTGTGTGTGTGTGTGTGTGTGTGTGTGTGTGCACATGTCTGTGTGTGTGTGTGTGCATGTCTGAGCTCCCTGAGGGTGGTGCAGTAGCTAGCACAGGCAGACCCAATGAATCCTTGATGGTTCCAGTTGAGGGATGGGCCTCTGCTTCTTCCTCTAAGTCTTTTTTGTGGACTGTTCCCCTTTCTCCCATCTTCCTTTTGCTCTCCCCACCTCTGACCCTCGCCCTGTTGCCTTTATTTTGGCATTTACGTGGTTCCGTCCCCTCTACCCACATCCTTCCTCAGCAGCACGTTTGCCTCTGCCTTCCTCCCTCATGGATGCCGTGGCCAAGCACCATGGCAGCTCTAATGGGCCCCTGGATGGGCCGAGTGTCATCGTGCGTGGGGGGAGGAGGGCAGGAGGAAGTGGGTGGGTGGGCCTGGCCGTCGGGGTTTGCTGAGCTGTCCCTGCTTCCAGGGCCAGCGCATCATCCTCCTATTTGGAAATCCTCGGTGAGCTCCAGGATAGGTGCTGAGATGTCCCTGGGTCAGAATTCTGGCTGGGGTTCAGGCAAGACCTGTCAGGACCACAGACCTAGGGCTCTGTCACCAGAGAAGCTCCTGTGAGCCCCAGCCTTGCCCTAGGGCCCTATCTGATGTTTGGACCTCGACTGGCTGCCTCCGGGTGGGGGAAGGGGAGGTGGCAGCAGCTGAAGTGTAGACTTGGGTTTGGCAGAAGTAGGTGGTAAGGAAAGAGGGTCGCTCTAGAGCCGGGAGGAGCCCAGGGTATGGGCTAAGGAGGGACTAGCATAGGCCTGTGAGCCGTTAGCCCGAGACCAGAAATACAAGTGACAATTACTCACCCAGGCCGTTGCCCTGGGCCCCTGTCTCCATGGCCTTGCTTATCAGTAATGTCCCTGCTCATCTCCCCACCCCTTGCTGCCTACACACCTCCCCACCAGACCAGCGTTCCCCCACTCCAGCTCAGCTCCTGACACCCCGAGCCCAGCTCCTTCGGCAGGGCCCCCTCTGCCTACAGAATATCCCAGAAGCACTGTGCCGCCAGAGCCTTCCACCCTGTGCCCAGCCTCCCATCCAGCTCACTGCTTTCCTTGGGTACCCGATGCCCCCAGCAAGATGCCCCATTTCCCAGCTATTTCATCGTCCACCCCCTCAAGGTCTCCCCATCCTTCCATGACGGTGAGTCCAGCCCCCCAGTGGCCTGGCCACCTTGCCCCTTGTCTCTCCCGATGACTCAGCATGAGCTGCTTGCTTTGCTCATTCCTCACGCACCTGTTTGATCTTCCCCGTTGGCTTGAGGAAAGGCTTATTAGTCACTCAGTTTTCTGTCTTCCCCACGCACCTGGCCCCGAGCCTTGCCCACAGGCCATCGCTGGGTTTGACGCAACAGAGAGTAGATTACGTAGTGAATTCACAACGCACTGTGGGGACCAGTTTCTTCTGTACCTGGCTTGGCATCCTGCGAGTCACAGAGGCCCAGGATGCCTCCGTTATTTAGCCCCACTTCTTCCACAGGACTGCCCTGCTTCCTAAAGTAGCCCACTCTCAGGACTGGATCCTCTTGTAAAGCAGGGGAGCTGGCCGCATATTCAGTGCTGAAACCAGGTCATTAACTCTGTGACGGGGCTGCTGGGTGGAGAGAGATTTAAAACTGGTGATTCTCCCCACTGCCAATGGAGGGGCAAAATCAGACACGAAGGTCGGGCACCTCCGGAGTCCTAGGGAGGCCACATGGATTTACAGGCAGTCAGGCCTCACCCAGCTTTTGGGGACCATGGCTGTTTGGTACAGGAAGGCACATCTGCAGTACGGTTTGGTATAGCAAGTCACAGTCCTTGGTGAGGACAGAGAGGGGGAATTGTCTACGGTCAGAGCGGCCTCACCTCCCATCCACAGGGGTCTTGGGACCTGCTGCCCACTTGGGGCTCAGGCTGTGATTTGGTCACAGAATGGGTGGGTCTGCTCCTTATTACAGCTCATTAAAGGTCACCAGGCACCTGCTTTCAGATGGCACATGTGCAGAGGGACACTGGGAGCAGAGAGAACAAGAGGTGGGGCAGGAGGGGAGGGCAGTCCCAGGCAGGCCAGGTCCCTCCCTCGTCTCACACCAGGCTGCAGGTGTCACCACCAGCAGCCTCGAGAGAGGGCCAGCAGGTGCCATGCACTTGGATTTGCCTGTCCCTTGTGCCCGTGGCACTTGGAAGATGCCTGGTCAGAGGCATCTTCTCTATGCTCCTTGAAGTAAAAGAGAAAAAGAAAAAAGAAAAAGCAGTGTCCTTTTATGATATCTGCCCCAAAGCCCGGCTCGGAGGCAGAGGGCAGGATTCATTGACCTCACCGATCAACACTGTGGTTCTAAGTTCCAGGATCAATATTTTAAATCTCTTTGCCTATAACAAGGGGCAGCATCACTGCTTTGCACAATTCCAGGGGCATCTTTTATTCTGTGTGAAGCTTTGTGACTCAAGACTGTAATGTGAGGAGTGCCCCGCTGGAGGTGTGTAATACCCCAAAAGTGTGGAGGGGGGCACAGAGAGGAAAGCTGGAGGTCGGCTCCCACTAGCTTCCAGCCTGTGGGACATGGTCGTACCGGTGACTGGCAGCAGAGGGCGATGTTGGCGTGTGCACTGGCAGAAAGAAGTGCTGTCGGAAGGTTGCACTCTGTGGTTGTTATGTTGTTTGAAGGGCGGGGGCTGTTAAACTGATTTTTGCTGTTTGTTGTTTTGACTCTTGGGTCCTTGGTTCCCCTTCTCCAAAGGAAATAACATTCTGGGGCCTGAGAGGAGAGGCTTAGTTGACTCATACAGCGTGCTTCTAAGATTATTACAATTTGAATCGCAAGCCAGGGAGCCAACAACTCCTTGGGTCGCATTTGCTGAACAGGTCTTTTCTGGACTGTGCACCCAGCATGTGGAGGATCCCTGGCTCCTTGCAAAAGGACTAGAGCCTGGGGAGAGCAGGGGTCTGGGATTTGGGCTTCCGGGTCCCCCTTTTCATCACTGATTTGGTCCTGGGATGAGCCTGGCAGCTCCCTTACTCTGAGGCGTGGTGAAAACAGGTTTTCTGCTCCAGGAACTGGTTCAAGTGCTGGGGTCCTTAGGCAAGTTCCTTAACATCTCTGAGCTCCAGTGTCCTCTGCAGGAAAAATGGGAACGCTAATGGTGGCTGCTTTAGAAGACCTGGTACACAGTAGCATTTCGCAAAGGGGAGTTATTTTATCAGTGGAGTGGTCTGGTGAACCCAAACGGAGCTTGACTGAATTCCTGTCCTGTGTTTTACAAGCTGTTTGTCAGCAAACAAGTGACTAGGCCTTCCTGAGCACCTCATTCCCTTATCCGTTAAGAGGTGACATTCTAACCCACAGAGTTGCTATGAAATGCAACTCTGTGGGTTAGAATGTCACCTCTTAACGGATAAGGGAATGAGGTTTTTGAATGTGCAGGCTCAGCAGCCATGGCTCACGGGCCCAGCCGCTCCGCGGCATGTGGGATCTTCCCGGACCGGGGCATGAACCCGCGTCCCCTGCATCGGCAGGCGGGCTCTCAACCACTGCGCCACCAATGGAAGAAGATAGTGTGTAAACTGTGTCTAGCACTTCTGGGTGCTTCATGCTGGGT